ACACACACACACACACACACACACACACACACACACACACACACACACACACACACACACACACACACACACACACACACACACCCCCCCCCCTTAGGAGACTGAGGACTCAGACAACCTCCATCTCCATGCTCTGTACTGAAGGAACCTGTTCTGCAGCTCCTGCTGCCCACTACTGATTTTCTCTCTCCTTTCCACACAATGGACAAAAATCATCCCTGGTGCAACTCCAGTGACTTCTTTGGGCTTCCCTCAGGGCTAGATTTGGTCCATCTTTGCTCCCCTCTCTTCCTCTGCCCTCGAGGATTATTTAACTGTCTAAATGATTTGAGAGCTGGGTTAGAGGAAAGATGCCTCTTGGGATGAAGTTCTCTTCTGGTGAGCTGCATTCATGCAGGATCTTCTGGGCGCATGAGAAACCATCTTCTCCTGTTAACCCCCAGAGAACCCAGGGTGAGTGCGCTCCACCTGATATATTCTCCATGCCTATTCTGGGTACCCCGAGGCCTGCTGATACTGGTGTTTGCAATGTTGTGGCTGTGTTGGTCCCAGAATATGAGAGCGACAAGCTGGGTGAGGGAATAGCCTTTATGGGGGGGTGGAAGAGCCAAGCTTTTGAACTCCACGGAGCTCTTCTCCAGGTCTGGGGCTGGTACTCAGGGGGTCACAGCTCAGTGCAAGCTGGGACAGGTTGTTAAGCATAAGGGAGTAACATGTTGCCAGAGACCAGTTACAGTGAAGTGGGAAATTAACACCTCCGCAATTGTAGGACAAAGGCTGGTTAGTAGGTTACAAATTGTAACACACCATAAAACCAGGAACATGCTTTTTGGTGTCTAGCAACGTTCTCAGTTTAAGTTCCCAGGCTCATCTTTTGAAGGCATCGTGAAGGTTTCCTTTGAGGAGCGGGAGTGAGAGAGACGATACAGAGCAATCGTGTTGTGAGAAGTGTTCGCCCGTGGTGATGGGGTGTTTTCATCTCATCATTTTGCTGTGTGAGTTCATTCGACAGTCTGGTTTCACCCACATAGTTATTGTTGGGGCATTTGCTGTAATGGGTCATGTACATCACATGTTGTGATAGGCACATGTAGGGCCCATGTGTCTTGAACGGCAGGTTGCGGAGAGTGCTGGTCATTGTAGCAGCGGAGAGATGTCTGCAGGTTTCACATCTGTTGTTCTGGCAAAGTGTGGTGCTGCTTTGAGTTGATGTTTTGCTTTTGTGGATGAGGTTTGCAGGTTTGGAGGGTTGTCTGAAGGCCAGAAGAGTGGGTTCAGGAAAGACTGAAATGCTGGGTCTCTTTAGAGTGGAGATGAGTAAGAGAGGGCATGAGGAAGGCATACAAAATAATGGGATGGAGAAAGGAAATCAGCTGCTCTTATTTACCCTTTCACAAGGGGGCACTCTGTGAAACTGAACCCGATTATAACTGATTCCTTACACACAGCACAGAAAAACTTGTGGAACTCACTATCACAGGACATCCAGGCACAGAGCAGAGTAGGGTTTAAAAGAGGATCTGACAGTCAGATGTGACAACAGCCACAATTTCAGGAGAGGGGATAAAAATTATATTTTTAGAAGGGATCAAAACCTGCAGGCTTCAGGCATTAGCCCACTACTAACTGGTGCAGTGGGTGGGGGCAGGATAGGAAGACATTTCCCCTATGGCAAGAATATTCTATCCAGTGGGAAGCTCCTTGCACCTATCTTGGAAACAATGGTGAAGACAGGACCCTGAGCTAGTTGTCTGACCCATTGGCTGATTGCTGCCAGGTGGTCACTCCCTCACAGGCAGAGCCCAGGAGGACTGTAGAATGGAGGCAGTGGCTGGGAATGTCACTGACTGTCAGGTGGGGCTCAGGACGTTCTGTTGACTCTGGTTCGAATCCAGCACTGGCTAAGATCTCGCAAGGAAGCACTTATAGTAACGGCAGCCTTGCGTGACGGTTCATTTGGGCACGCGCTAGTTTGGGGGAGGGGTGGGGAGTAGCCAAGGAAAAGTCTCCCATTTAGTAAATGCTGAGCAACACCTCAGAGCCATACCTAACGGGGTAGGGAGGGGGAGGCGGCCATGTGTGCCCTGGGGATGGGGAAGTTATGAGTGGTTGAGACAGGGAGCAGCGTGCCAAAGAGAGGTGGAGTCAGTATGGTGTCTAGGTCGGGGTCGGGGGGCTACTTTGACAGCTGCCTGTCACCTGCTTTCCCAGCTATTCGCCTCTCTTCTGGTCCATCGGCAAGTTTGTTTTACCAGCTTAGGCTCCCTTAAACTCAGTGGGTCGGAGGCCATAGGTGCTGGAACTGGGAGTGCTGGGGGGTGCGGCAGCACCCTGTGACTTGAAGTGGATTCCATTATGTACAGGATTTACAGCTTGGTTCAGTGGCTCTCAGCACCCCGCTCAGCTGCTGATCTCATTTGCTCCAGAATAGCACCATTGACCCCCCCCAACAGCGCTGCTGCAGAGATCACCAGCATAACTCAGCTCAGCATTATGCTGTGTGGGCTAAAGTCATTCCTGGTGGAATTGCATTGTACCAAGCGGAGTGACCCCAGGGATTAATGTGCCCCAGTGAAAATTCCCTAGGGCCTGAGCCAAAGTCCATTGAAACTAATGGGCGCCTCATTCAGACTCCGCTCGACTTCAGAGGGCTTTGGATCAGACCATTAACAGTGTGTCACTTCCACCACCAGGTGTGTGAAATTTCCCTGCCAACAACGTGCTGGATTTGGGGCAACTGCATGTGTCAGTGAGTAATTTACCCCAGTTACAGGCGCTCTCCCAGCCAGCTGTGCTCGCTAGCTTGGCCAGTGGTCCTGGCTCTGGCTAGGCCCAGCAACGTTTCAAGGCTTGCCAGTTGGACGTTAAGCTCTGTAGCGTTACACCCAGTGAAAGCAGTAACAATCCATCCTCTGGGAGAAAAAAATAACCCAGACAACGGTGGGTGAGATCATGTATAGTCAGACAGCGCCTTCTGTCCCATCCCCAACACACTCATTGAGACAGTAGCGATCTCACCGATGAGTTAGTTCTATTCAATAACGATCTTTGCCCTTATTCATTACTCACCTGCATTCAGCATGAACGTTTGGAGACCGCGCATTGACCATTCGATCTGTATATACGCACGTCGGGCGCGCTAGAGAGAGACAGAGAGAAAACCAACCGTTGTTATTTTTAGGTAACCTGACTGGGCAATGTGGTACTTTTTGTAAGGTGGTTACTTTGTACTGTTCATTGAGAACTTGCTTCTTCGGTTTCTCCCCTGTATCTGTGACGTTTCTGTGTTCTGTCAAATAAATTATTCTAGTTTATTAAACTCAGAGAAGAAACCACAGCCCTGCCGTGTCTGAGGCTTTGTTTTGTAGTTTAAGGGTGGTTGGGTTCACGTAGTATTGTGTCCTGGGAGCCGCAGATGAAGCCATTAGGGGCAAATGCTGATGTGGTTACACTGGTGTAAAGCTGAAAGAACCCCATTCCGTGATTCCGAATGTGATGGGTTGGGTCACAGAAACCCCCCGGGACGGCCACTCGATGTGCTGGGACTACCTCTGAGCCCGTTTTCTCCGCCAGCTTGGGACTTCAGTGCCCTGCCTGGTTGTGCCAGACACGCCCGTCTGCTCCAACACAGACCCAGGTCTGAACCACGTCCCCCACAAGCTGCAGGCTTAACTGAAAACAGTTTAAGAAGTATTCCTGTCTTCAGCACTCAGATACCCAGCACCCAATGGGGTCAAAACCCCAAATAAATCGGTTTTACCCTGTATAAAGCTTATACAGGGTAAACTCCGGGGAGGAGGAGAAGAAGACAAGCTGGGGAAGGGGCTGGAATTGGGGCATACTCCCTCCAGCCCCCTGCATGAGCACCCCCCGACCCCAGCCCACCCTCCCAGCCCCCTGCCCACCCTAACCCTTGCACTCCCCCAGCCCCCTGAGCCCCTGCCCTGACCCTGCACTCCCCTCACACCTCCTCAGCACCCCCACTCACAGATTATGTGTGGTGCCTGGGAGCAGTGACAGCAGGACTTGTCAGTGCTGGCTGCCACGCCCCCTGCCAGTGGGAATGCCCAGAAACTACCTCCCTGCACTCTAGGGAAGGGGCACAGCCCAGTTTTGGGGGAAAGGGGCAGTTGTGGGGCAAGTCCGGGTGCGATGGGGGAGCTGTTGGTGACCCCGTGTGGGGGGTGTAGGAGAAGCAGGGTGTTAAGATAGGGGTTGGTGTGGCAGGGGGCAGAGGGAGGGAGGGAGGGGAGAGTCTGGGTTGAAGGTGGGGGTTGGCTGGGGGTGTGTGTGTATAGAAGGGGGGTAGTAGAAGAGAGGGAGGTGACAGCCCTGGGGTGAAAGTGTGTAGGCAGTGGGCATAGCAGGGAGACCGAGGAGAGCCTTTGTTAGGGGGTTAGTTGTGTGGGATGGGGACAGTAGGAGGGATGGGA